GACCATACTGGAGATGCTATTTTCCAAATACTCAGGCCATAATATATGTTGTTGATTCAAGTGACACTGATAGGCTGGTTGTTGCTAAAGAGGAGTTTCATGCCATACTTGAGGTACTTTGGTGGTGTAGATGTTTCTTTCAAAGTATCAAATCTTGCCCACACATTTCAATAAACAGAATACATTTCCAAATACTTGTTTTTGCTATTAGAAAAGGAAAGGTTGCTCTTAATAATCTACCATAGGTGCTGGCGCTTCAAGATTAAACCTATGAAAATGGAATTGTTTCTTTTTAAATTAAGTGGAAATTTCAGTTTTGAATGACCTGGCCAAGATTAAATATCGGAAAAATGAGATGGTGGTTATGTCCTTTCATAGTACCTATGTTTCAACAATCAGCATCCCAATAAATGTAAAATCTAACAGTTAAAGTCATTAAGTGTTTGAGCAATTCAAGGATACCTTTCACAGAACAGGTGGTTGTCACATGACACACTGGAATGCAAAAGTTATGTGTTTTGTTTATGACGTGGTGTATACAGAAGGATTGTGTAATTTTTCTGAATTACAGAAGAATGTGGTTGTTTCCTGAAATATAATGGGTCAACCTTGCAATAAGCAAACATGTCTAAGATCTCGCAAGATAAGTGTCTTCCATAAGGCTAGTAGAAATTGATTCCAATGCATATAGCCATATATGCATCTGTCATTCTATCAAAGTGTTTAAATTATGGAAGCCTGTATTAATTTTTAACATTTATAATGAACTACAAGATATAAATGGAGAGTGGTGGAAGGTAATATTGATTATCCCAAATTCGAAAAGCAATAAATGTTTTGAAGTTGTATTATTTAATGCTGCAATGTCATCTAAAAGAGGGTATTTTTCAAGTAGTAGATTGCCTGAGCTGATACATTCTATCTAGTTTTTGACATTTAGAGTTGTAGAAATAAATTGTTTTTATCTGTTTAATTTCTTCTTTTTGGGTGTGAGGTGATGACAAACCTTTTCTTGGGACTATGATTTACTGTGTTCTCATTCAGTTAAAAGCAATTAATTATCTTTTTTTTTTCAGGAGGATGAGTTAAAAGGTGCTATTGTTCTCATATATGCTAACAAGCAGGTTCTATGTTTTTTGTGCAATTTTTCTAATGATTAGTTGTAGGTCCTCTGGCAAACGCCTACCTTGTGGTCATGCTTAGTGAAGCACATTAATGCATTGCATGCCACTCATGTGTTTTTATTGGTGGTCTATTTTCAACAGGATCTTCCTGGTGCACTAGATGATGCTGCAGTGACCGAGTCCTTGGAGTTGCACAAGATTAAAAGTCGACAATGGGCAATTTTTAAGACTTCTGCCATCAAAGGAGAAGGCCTTTTTGAGGGATTGGACTGGTAAAGCTTGAATTCGTAACTACTGTGACCTTATATGATTTTTGGTTCTTGATTGCATCCTCAAACTCAAAATACATGCTTGCGGAAGCTTCCACTAACATTGTCACTCCATGCTATACTAGTTGGATTATGTCATGAATGGTCCTTGAACTATCATCATCATATTGTTTTGGACCTTTTGGTCCTTGAACTACTATGGATTAATATGGATTAAATAGCATAAGGATTAAAATGATAGATTTATTAGTTCAAGGACCAAAATGATATGATGATGATAGTTTAAGGACCATTTATGTATTTTACTTACTTAATAATGCATACTAGGTATTAACAAATAAGATCGGTGTGGAGCTGAGTGTTAGGACCTGTTCATTCGGACCAAAATTTTCTGGTCTGAGTTAGTTTGATTTGAACTTGTCTGTTTAAACCTGGTCTAACCTTTTCTGGTCCGATGATTTCTGTCTAATATTATTTTATTTTTTAAAACTCATCTAATCTTGTTGTCTGTTTAGGAAGATCTGGTCTTAGATTGAAATAAGTCTAATTGAAAGGCTCCTTGGTCTCATTGGTTCTTTTTGTTATATGTGAATGAAGGGTTATGATTACCTTGCTCATCCCTGGTATTATAAAATAAGATGGCTCAAACATTACCACAGCAATGGCGACATACATCCCTAGACATGCTTTCCTACTTTGACCATATATTTATGCTTTCCTACTTTGACCATATATTTATGGCCTAATCTTTCTATACTGAGATGGGTTTACATATCCTTTGACATTCATATTATTTCGCTGTGCCAATATTCATATACTCCCTCTGTCCCTGAAAATTCTTTCCACTTACCTTTTTGAGACGTCCCCAAAAAATTCTTCCCATTTCTCTTTTTGGAAAGGATTGTGTGGCAACCATTCATTTACCTTTTTCTTACTCAATCACAAACATACATTTCCACTTTCTTAAACTCTGATCCAAGTCAAACTGGGAAGTATTCTGTGGGATGGAGTAACATGTATTGCCTCCCTAATATTTTTGTTGTATGTTATCAATCAATTATGTAGGTTGAGTAACACCCTCAAGTCAGGAAGTAGCTAAATTTCGTC